GCCAGATATTGTTTGCTCCAGACTCTGGCAGCTAACTATAGGCCTGTGATCCTGATGTGGCTAATCAGACACTCACGTCCAGCAACACCAATCTGCAGGGACAGCTGCAAGATCACTCAGCCTGGTGACAGTGGCATCAGTGAGAATACTGTGGTTCTGGGGTGTGTGTCTGTGGGCAGTGTCTACTGCAGCCTCGGGAGGACCATTTCCTTTACCTGGCCTCTTCAGGAACACACTCATATTCCAAGTCCTGGCCTGGACCCCTTGTGACGTTTCCAGAACTGGCCAATAAATACTCTTCCCTGAAGTCCCTTCCGCTCAGGCCAATGATTCATGCTTCTAATCAAGAGCACTGAACTGGCACATCACGGAGCTGCTGGCCCGCCAACTCCTGGCATCTTGCCTTCCATTGCGCGGACCTGTGAATACCTGAGGCCCTTGGTGCTGCTTTGGGATTTGAGTACCATGCATCTATCTCTCCAGCCTCCCCTTCTCACTCCAGCCACCCTTGCCCTCCTGCAGCTGAGCTAGAAGGACACCTTCTCTTCAGCGGTTAGAATTTTGCGCACACCTCCGCCTCAAACCCTCCCCGATAGGCCCTCCTCACGCCCACACCACCCTTTACTGGGCTCATTTCCACTTGTCCTCTCCATCTCAGCTTCAGATTCCTCAGAAGCCTTTCTTGGACAAGTCACCTGTGGACTTCTTCTTTCCTTGTTTTTTTGTTTTTGTTTCTTTGTTTGTTTGGTCCCAGGGATCGAACTCGGGACCTTGCGCTTGCGAGGCAGGCAGCAGAACCACTGAGCTAAATCCCAACCCTCCTTCTTTCCATTGTGATGTGTCTTCCCCAAGCAAGAGTGAAGGCAGCTCCACACCTTTATCTTCAGAGCATCACCAAGAACCCACTTTCACACCATCTCCAGCAGGAAAATCTCCCTCGGACAGGACCTTATCTTTCTAGTTAGAGGGATTAGAAAGGAGGTAGGGTTCTCCAACTATGTCCACTGCGTGCCCGGGACAGAGTCTTTGAACATCCTCCCTCTGTCTACTAATGGGGTACTTTCCTAAGGTGGATTACCAAAATCAAAATCTAGCTATTTTATTTAGAATTAGAAGCTTTTTTTTCTTTTGATACCAGGGATCAAACTCAAGACCTTATACTTGCCAGGCAGGCACGGTGCCACTGAGCTACATCCCCAGCCCTAGCTATTTTATTTAGAAGAAAAGAATTCCTGATTGTGAAAGGAAGAATATAAAGAAAGGAGAATTCTAACGTGGGTACAGTAGGCATTTCTGGATAAATCAAGAAGGATAGAGTACTATAATAAAGACAGAGCTGAAGTTGAGGGTTTTGAGTTGTGTTAAGGCACTGGAAGTTTAGGACTGGGAGAGAGGATTGTAGGAGGCAGTAGGAGACTGCAAGAAGAAAGAACCAGTAGTAATTCCAATTCCTTAGGAGGCTAGGGCCAGAGGATTGCAAGTTCGAGCCCAGCCTGGACAACTTAGTGAAACTCAGCCTCAATATAAAAAATAAATCAATCAAAGGGCTTGAGATATAGCTCAGCAGTGCAGCAGCACTGGGTTCAATCCCCAGCACCAGAAAAAGGGGGAGGGCAGAGAAGATAGACTCCCAGTGCTGTGTAAATCCACCAGGCTTAGTAGCAGTTACTGCTATATGTAAATGAAAAAATACTCAATGCTTTTAAGTGTCAACAAAGAGAAGCAAAATGAACCTGGGAGTTGAAGTCCAAAAGATTTGAATTCTCAGTCCCACCAATTGCTAAATCAACTTAAATTCTCTGAACTTCAGTTCCCTCATTTATAAAATAGAGACAAAATGCCATTCACAATATTAAGTGCCAAAAGCCAGGTGAAGAACAATGTATATAGTAAGGTCCCATCTGTCTCTTTCAGAAAAAAGTCATGTATTGACCAAGTATCCCGGAGTGTACAGAAAGTAGTAGCAGTGGTCGCTTTGGGAGAATGAACCTTACCTTCCCCTGTATATTCCTTTTTCCTTTCTAAGTTAACTTCAGACACACAGTTTAACTATTCTAATGAATTCATTAATGGCCTAAGAATATTTATCTCACAAAGTTGTTACCAAAAAAAACCCACCATAGATTTCCAATACATGCTGGCTCCCTTTCCTCCCCATTGTAAGTGTATACAAATCCCCCACCTGGAGTTACATGTAAAACCTAGGAATTTCCTCATGTGCTAAACCTTGCCAGTCCTTCTGTGAAGGTCCATGCATGTGCTTTAGCATGTATCGGTGTATGTTTCATAAATGGGAATAAGACAACTCGAAGCTATATTCTGTGGAGTTGATACTGCCATACTTTGAGAAAATACAAAAGTGCTTGGGTGTATACTTCACTCTATAGCAGTTTGTTTCATCTTTAGTGGCCACAAAAATAAAAATTACACATTGAATGAATGGCTTTGATCATTTCTGAAAGGTGATATGAGAGTGGTCCACCCTGATCTAATAGTTCTGAAAACTGGAACACATTTTTGAGCACTTCTGGAATAAGCCCTCATTTTTACACATTAGGAAACAGCTCCCTGTAGCAGGTTTTCCAATTCACTAACCATCAACTGCTGAAGAACTGCCAATTATTCTCTACACTTGGCCCCCACAAGACATTTCACCAACCACTTCCTAAATCAATAGCATGTTGACGCATCCACAAAAATATTTATGTTCATTTTTTCATTTCCAAAACAAAGGGGGGGATAAACCGAACATGGGGTAGAAGGAAGGTTTCCTTTGAAAAGAAAAATACGTTGACTCAGAATAATGAGTACAATGTGAAAGCACTATGACTTAAAAACTGCTCTGGTTTGGTAGATGCAAACACATAAAATATAATGTGGATCGAAGTATCTAACACGTACTGTGCAAAGGTAGTCTGAAGTAATGGGCCAGGTATCCATCAAGTATTTATGCTCTTTTTCTAAATGCTATACACATTTCATTTACCATAAAATATATAAAATATTTACTTTTTCCCTAAAAAAGATACTGTAAATTATTCAAAGTGCAGTACATTTCACCAGTTCTTTCCACCTGTAAAGTAGGCTTCTTAGATCAGTAGCAAAGTTTTAAAAAAGCAATCCTGAGAGCTCCGAAAAGCATAATTTAGGAAAATCAAACACCCACAAGGAAACTTACTTGTTAATGTGGAAAGTTCAAGTCCAAATGGAAAAATCAAAGGTTGTCATTTGGAATTAACAAATAGCGCTATTATGATTAGAAAATAGCATAAAAGTTAAATATCCCTTCTGTACCTCACTGGGTTAGGAGATGAAAAATGAAGGTTTGGATACATTTTTGGTCTAGAGTCACATGAGCAGAATTGGCCCAAACCATTCTGATAATTGAGAAAATCCTTTGTGAATAAAATACTTCATTTTGGACCCTTTATCTTTTAGTCATAGTCTTTTTCATCCAATTATATATTGACATGTATGCGGAATTACCGTGGAAATGCTATGATTACAGTGACTTCTATTTAGCACTTCACGTCTGATTTTCCTTACTTTTTAGAGAACATTTTCTTACACTCTTGCCCTCATTGAATACTTAAAATGGCTCTCCACCAAATACATAGACCTCTGCAATGTTCTGATGTACGTATGTTATAAACAAGAATTCTTACTCTCTTGGTGTTTACATGATGTGTAAAGTGGTGATTTCACATTTCAGTTCTGATATAGCCACATATTTACTCAGTTTAATAAATTTTCCCTTGGAAAATGTTCCTTTAATTATGTTTTGCATATTTGAATGATTCTCATTTTGCACCTGTATTCAAAGGCACCTGATTTTAATGGATTGACTTTCTAGGCGAGAGAAAGGATAGCATTGTATAGTGTCTGCTTGGACAATGGACCTTACACATTTGACCTAGACAGCATTCTGTACCCTATTTTACCACCTCATTAACTCGATTAAGATGTCTCAGTGACATCGAACATCATACAACTATGTAATTAAAATATAAATCCAAATCAAATTTACATTATAGCTGAAATTATAGAATGAAGACAACCTGGCATTCTCTTTGCGGTTTCTTTGAGAGACCTGCACTTTGACCTTTCCTCAGCCAATTCATTTCACTGGCTCTTTTTTTTCTTTTTCTCAACAGCCACTTTCATTTGTTTTTCTTTCACCATTTTTCCTTAAGTGCCACTTTTTCTGCTTGGGTCAAATTTCCAACCTGCACACAAATGAAAAGTTGGAGGGAATTATTCAGATCATTTGAGCCTATATCGTATTTTGTATTTGGATTATTGGAGTGTGTTTCAGCAAAGCTAGAATTTTCTTTCCTGCCTGATCCAAACAGCAGCCTAATTATCCTTTCCCTTCCAGCTGTGAAAGCCCAACCAGGAGGAAGTAAAATGATTTTTCCCTAGTCCCAAAGCAAGTTATTAGCAGCTGTAGACCCAGGAACCTCTCCAGTCTCCATAGGTACCCGTCATAAGTTACCCCGTGTGTTCACTGACTTGGAAGAAGATGCTTTTTCCATTTTTCCTGAGAACAACTGCATGTAACTGCTGTTAACGAATTTCATTCCACCTAAGAATTACTAATATCCTAAGTACTTTAAATTTGTTCTGGAAAAAAAGCTTTAAATATGCACAATAATATTGCTCGTATTATTGGGGAATCATCCTTTCAATAAAACTGGCTTAAAATTAAAACTTTTTTTACATAGGTACAAATTAGAAGAATTACTCAGTAATGAGAGGGTAGAGATATAGAAACAGGCTAGTACCTCAAAAACTGTTTAGAGATTTAATTAAAAGCAAGGGCAGCAGGAGAATTAAAATTTAATACTAAACATTGCAAAATCTAAAATTATAGGCTGAGAATGACTTACCATTCTAAGAACTCACCTTTTTATTTGGTACCGGGGATTGAACTTGGGTCCTTGTGCTTGTGAGGCAGGCAGCAGAACCACTGAGCTAAATCCCTGGCCCCTAGAACTCACCTTTTTATACTGTTGGTCACAAGGTTCAAGTAGAGTTGAATAGATGATGTCATCCAACATAGGTAAGGAAAATTCCTCCACTCTGGAACAAACAGCACTTAATAAATATCTGAGTGAAGGAAAATTACTCCTGCTTTTTTTAATCAGCTCATTTTTTAATAAAATACATTTTCAGAATTTATAATGTTTCAATACAGATCAACATGACATGTAACAGTTCTCCCACAATATTTGACTCAGGAATGACTAATCAACCTTATTTAATTGATTTTTACTTGTCTAGACATTTGGAAAATTTAAGGTTTTTTGTTTTTCATTTTATTTCCGTGAGTGTGTGTGTGTGTGTTGCTAGAAATAAAACCCAGGGATCTGCACATGCTAAGCAAGCATTCTACCACTAAGCTGCATTCTGAACCCCTCTTAGTTCTTCATAGTCTACTTTACTTAAGGGGAAACATTAAAGCTCCCAGTTCTTCCGCTATCAGGTCGTTCCTTTAGAAATGACTCGCCAATCAAAAGTATCCCAGGTCCTTCTTGCCTTCAACAGAGAATGGGACGAGAGAAGCCAAAAATGGTGCCAAAAGTTTATTTAGAAGGTGCAGGGTAAAATGGGTATGGGAGAAACTAGTTGTGCAGAGCAAACTTGGGCAGAACAAGAGAAAAAGAGGGTAAAAGAAAAAATACAAGTACGTGCTCCATCTGGGAAACACAACGTGGTCTATTGTGGGAGGTCAGATCACTCCTGGGGCCTCGTCATCTTTATGCCATCCACATCTAGTGGGGGAGTCCAAGAAGTTCCACAGACGGGCTCCTGGCATTGTCCTGGGATCTTGTAATTGACAGGCCCCACCCACTTCTCTAGCCAGTTTGCCATGCCCTAGCTTCTACATCACTTCCATTTGGAAGTCACGAATCTCTGAGGGCAGGAGTTATCCCCAACACTAAGAACGATATTGTCATTTAGGTGCTATTAAAACATTTGTAGAATGAATGGATAAACGACATGGAATGAAACATGTTAAACACAGACTAGGAATTCATTTGCAAAATAAGAATTTTGATGATGTACCATAAATATAAATCACTTTCATATTACCTTGAGATCTTTTAAAATGTGAGTGATTTCTTGAATTTGAAAATGGCAGGTCTGTAAGATTCACATTACTGGAAAACACCGAGTAGAGTGTTTTCTTCTGTGACCACTGGGAAACCAGATTAGAGTGTCATTTTTACTGGAGAAAAAAAAAGACAGATTCTATTTTAGAAGCGGTGAAAGCAATACCTGTAGCTTTCTTTCAGAAACAGGAAAACCAGAAAACATAAAAAATAGCTTGATGAAGATCCACAGCTGTAAGAAGTGGATCCCTTGACTAGGTGAATTCTCACCCATCCATACCACAGGAACAAGTGGTAGAAGGCAGAAAGAGAATCGTTCTTCTGCACAAACAAGAGGGTTTTGTTGGGTTATCCTGTCTCATCCCAAACTGACACGAGTAACATGGTAATCGGTTACAGGATCTGTTAATGATCCTGCATATCTCGAATCTCAGGATTTGAGAAAGTTCATGACCACTAAACAACGCAGGCATTTCCCTAAGGTCTAGCCTCAGTCCTTCCCCCTACTGAGATTCTCAGGGACTATTCCCTGCACCTAGATTGGATCCCTTTCTCTTACACTGGATGACTTTTAACTTTGAACTGTGGCTTTGTCCTCTAGAGTGAATAGAAACTCCTACCTCTGGAAGCCTCCTGGACAGCTTCACCTTGATTTTTCTACCAGTATCTCACTTAAATTCCTAAGATTAGCTGCTCCTCCTCCCCAAAGAAAATCTTCTCATGGCCTCCCTACTTCATAGGGTGACACCACAGAGCTGCAGACAAGCCTCTTGGGCTGGGGTTCCCAGATTCATCTTTAATTTCTCCCCATCTCTTTCTTCCTCTTCAGTACACTTCCCCGGTCACCACCTACCCCTGTCATATCATTGACATGCATCCCTGGACTTCATTTCCTATTCTGATCTGTCCTATGCACCTCTACTTGAAAAGTTTACCTTTAGGGTTGTGAAGAAAATATATATA